GATGGATGGATGGATGGATGGATGGATGGATGGATGGATGGATGGATGGATAATGGATGGATGGATGAATGGATAAAGGGTGGACGGACGGATGGATGGATAATGGATGGACTGATGAATGGATAAAGGGTGGAAGGATGTATGCATGGATGGATGGACGGATGATGGATGCATTGATGATTGATGGGCTTATGAAGGGATAGATGGACAGATGATGGATGGATGGATGGATGGATGAATTAATAATTGATGGACGGATGGATGGATGGATGGATGGATGGATGGATGATGGATGGATGAATGGATAATGGATGGATGGACGGATAGATGCATGGTTGGATGGATGGACAGACGGACGGACGGACGGATGGATGCATGGATTGATGGATGGATGGATGGATAGATGGATGGATGAATGAATAATTGATGGATGGATGGATGGACGGGCTGATGGTTGTCTGGCTTGGTGGCTGAACTGATAAATGATAAATCATTTATTTATTAGCTATGATTTATCAGTTGTATCTATTTTGCAACAAACTCCTGATATTTGGCATCTGATCTCTGAAACGGATCACATGTGAACATTTCAGTCGGACCAGTAAGCAAATCACACAGAAATATGTTTAAATTAGCAATTGTCTTCTTTGATGGGCACTAAAATCATTGCAGAAAGGAGCAGATTCATTATTTATCTACAGGACTATTCAGCACAACTGTTGTTGGTTTTCTTTTCTTTTTTAAATCTTGCATTTAGCAATCCCAGCTTCAGTTCCCAGAGGAAACTGGAATTTTGTTGCTTTAGTTTCACTCTTACTTTTCCATGAAATGCATAAAAAAAAATAATAGAAAGGAGTTCAGAAAGTTTAGTTTGATCTCAGTGGAGAAATAAAAGCATGCTTGCTTCCTTTTAATGAATATGAGAAACAAAATGTCCCTTTATGACCCGTTTCCAGATCTGCATCAGAGCTTTGAAGCACAAACTGCAGACCTTTGTGTTTTAACCTTTGAAAGAAACATTAAACCCATGCTATTCTAATGGGCCTTATTATAAACCTGCAAATTGCTAATTTGCTGCTTTTACTGTCTCCTGTGTGCAGGTGTATGTCATCAATGTCACCTACTCTGACAACACGTCTCACATCATCTACCGAAGATACAGCAAATTCTTCGACCTGCAGGTAATCTTCCTTTTTTTTTCCTGCTTCTGATGGGTTTCTCATTGTTGTTTTTGTGGCTGCCTCGCCGTCTGTTTAAATCAGTGTTTGCATCTGGTCCGGACAGGGAGCCTGTTGTATTTTTCATTTCCTCTGCCTTGTTGAGATGCAGCAAACTCTTCTCTCCTCTTCTCCACTCATCCCTGGTTTGGCCTCAAAACGTCAGGCAGCCGTCAGGCCTTTTTTTCTAACGGCACAGGCGTAGAAAAAGTCAGTTTAATGTAGCGTGTTTTATGGCTGGGCTGCTGTTAAATCCTGCAGCTCATGCTGCTGATCGGTGGGGTCTTTATTTAGAATCGTTCTCGGCTTGCGTAGCTCGTTTTAAGCATCAGGGCTGTTTGTGTTGGAGCGAAACGGTGAAAGCCTCTGCTGTGTCTCTCCGAATGACTGCAGGGGAGCCTCGGGTCACTGCAAGCTGATACCGTACGCATGTTGGTCCTGAGGTCCACGGGTCATGAGTAAATATAAAAAGGTTGTAGTGAGAAAGTTGCAGGAGGGCATGTCTCAATGGTAGCAGTGTGCTGCTTCTGCAGGAAATGATGTTTCAGTCAGCAAGAGGGAAAGTCCTTTCTGAAAGGTCTCTTTGATGGAGTGGAGTCCTCCTCCCCCCCCGCCTCCGCAGCTGATCATTCCCACTGTGGAGCATAAGACGGAGGTGGAATAACAAACAAGCAGGAGCCGTTAGGTTGACTGGATGTGTGTCTTCCTCCTTCAGAGAGGAGAGTAATGAACCCTAATGGTTCACGGACGAGCGCGTCAAAGATCGCTCTCAGTCGGCCTGCGGGAAGATTGATTCGGTTTGGTTTCACAGATTGACGAGGGCAAAGTCCTGCCAACTCTGTCTGGGATTTACACAGTTGACAAATACAGAAGCTCTCCTCTGACCACGGATTCAGAACGTCATGTCATTTATGCATTGATTTTTAGATTTACATCAATAATAGTGTAAAAAAAAAAATGAAATAAAGAATAAACAAAATAGAGAAAATGTCCAAAAAAAAAAATCATCTTTTGATGTGTTCAGTAGACTGTTGTTCCATGCCATCGACTGTTTTCTTTTTTATCTTTAACCCTCGTTGCTTGTCCAGGTTGTTGTGCTGACAGGCTTTTCATGCCCTGCAAGCACTGCTGCAAAATATGAACAATTCTAAGCACAAAAGTGAGAGGATGTTCACCAGCATCTAACATCATTTCCTCCCTCTGAAGAAATCTTGTAGAGATGTCCAAAAAAATACTTTTGTATTTATTGGGGTAGAATTTTTCATTGAGAATAATTGCTTCGATGCCATAGCTTCATAGCCTCGTGAAACCA